GTGTAGTTTTAGGTGAGATTGTCTTGCTAGTTTGTTAATTTCTTCCAAAATGTGTTTCTAGGTGATATCTGGTCTGATTCATCTGGTCTCTGTTCATTTGCTCCTTGCCTATTAGAACTTCTTGCATTTCAAACCCATGGCCAAGGTTTTTGAGGGATATCAAACTGCCAGCAACTGCCTTGATCTGAGTTTTCAACACCAAAAGAGGACCATGAGATTATGTTTTGAGATGTTGGTGGATACTTATAAACTTATGATCCAGTAAATTCTTCATTTCTTCTTGACTCAACCTAATCTCAGCCATCAGGCATTCTTCCGTCTTCTTTCCTAAGAGTTAGTAACAAACCACACTTAACAGTTGGTAAACTTGTGGTTATTAAAAATTTATTAGAAACCCGTATTACAAGGAAATGATAGATGATATTAGACAAGAACCTCACACCTATCGTACTGAAAAGACTATAGCTGTAGTAAGAGGGGCTGAATTCCTGTTTTTTGCAGTCCAACGAACACAGAAAATGCAATTATTAGAGCTCAGAATGATAAGAATTATGAAAATGCTTAGCATTTCATCAGAGAATATAATGAGATCTCTCAATTTTCATCACACGTGAGTGGAATCGTGGCAAGATTTCTCCCAAAATACTACTTATGTGAAGATTCCCTGAATATGGCTAAGATGGCAAGTTCATAAACTGAAGTTTATTCTGTTGCCTCTCGATACAAGACAAGATACAACAACTTAGGTGTCATGGCATTCAAATGGTGTGTTTTCTCTTTTACTTGCCCTCATCAACCATCTTTTTCAAGTTCTCCCTTTCACCCCCACCTGGATGCAGTACTCCAAGTCAGGCCTCACAAGGGCAGATAAGAGTGGGACATGTCCTGAGTACTGACATGTCCTGAGTACTGGGACAGTAATGAGCCCCAGTGGTACCACTAGTGACTGGCCTCCAACTGAAATGGAACTCCATTTACCACGACTCTTTGGGTCTGGCCACTCAGCCAGATTTTAACCCAATGAAGTGTACACCAAATCAAGCTTTGAGCATGCAGCTCCTCCAGGAGCATGCTGCGGGAAATGGTTTCAAGAGCCTTACTGAAGTCGAGGTAGACCACATCCACAGACCTTCCATCATCAAGTGAGCATGTAACTTTGTCATAAAAGGAGATCTGGTTCCTCGAGCAGGAGCTGCCTTTGGAAAACCCATGCTGACTAGGCCTGATTGCCTGGTTGCCCTGCATGATGACACTCAAGATAATCTGCCCCGTGAGCTTTCCCAGCACTGAGGGCAGACTGACAGGCCTGTAGTTTCCTGGATCATCCCTCCAGCCCTTCTTGTAGATGAATGTCACATTTTCTAGGTGCCAGTCAACTGAGACCTACCCTGATAACCAGGGCTGCTGATAAATGATGGAAAGTGGCTCAATGAACACTTCTACCAGCTTCCTCAGCACCCTCAGGTAGATCCCACCTGACCCCAATAGACTAGCGTACATCTAAGCAGAGTAGCAGATCACTAACCATTTCCTCATGGATTATGAGGGCTTCATTCTGCTCTGTGCCCCTATCTACCAGGTCAGGGGTCTGAGTACCTGGAGAACAAATGGCCTTGCTGCCAGTTGGAAGAGGCAAAGAAGGCATTATGTACCTCAGCCTTTTTCTCATCTCTTGTATCTATGTAGTGTCCTGCCTGCAAACTCTGCCCTACCCCTCTCCTCCCCCCGCACACTGCCTCATCCAATATAGGATCTAGATTCTTTAATCTTTTCTTCAGTAAAGGCTGGAGATTCTTCAACAGCCCAGTGTAGGAAAACAGGTTCTAGACTACCTAAGGAACCTGAAGGTGCACAAGTACATGGCACCTAAGGAGACGCATCCACGTGTCCTGAGGGAACTGGCAGATGGAGTTGCTAAGCCACTGTCCATCATATCTGAAAAGTTGTGGCAGTCCAGTAAAATGTATGCTGACTGGAAGAGGGGAAACAACACCAAGACCCAGGGATCTGCAGGTCTTTCAGTCTTACCTCTGTGCCTGGCAAGATCATGCAGTAGATACTCTTGGAAACTATGCTAAGGCTCATAGAAAACATCATCCACCTGGAATTGTGCAAAACATTTGATGCTGTCCCCCATAGTATCCCCTCAGTACAGGAAGGAAATAGAAGCCTTGGAATGTGTCCAGAGAAGGGCAACGAAGCTGGTGAAGGGCCTGGAATGCAAGTCCTATGAGAAACAGTTGAGGGAACTAGGGTTGTTTAGTCTGGAGAAGAGGAGCCTCAGGGGAGACCTTATTGCTCTCTATAGCTCCCTGAAAGGAAGTTGTGGGGAGCTGGGTGTCAGCTTCTTCTCACAGGTAACTAGGACTAGAGGGAATGGCCTCAAGTTGCACCAGGGCAGGTTCAGGTTAGAAATTAGAAGATATTTCTTGTCAGAAGGAGTAGTCAGGCATAGGAACTGGTTGTTCAGGGAAGTGGTGGCATCTCTGTCACTTGGGGTGTTCAAGGAAAGGTTGGATCTCATGCTTAGGGACATAGTATAGTGGGTGACATAGGTATTAGGGTGATGGCTGGACCAGGTGATCTTGAAGGTCTTTTCCAACCTTAATGATTCTATGATTCTATTTTTGTCACTCAGTTGGAAAGACATGGATTTAATTGATGAATTTAATGGATGGACCACTTGGTGGGTAAGGAATTGGCTGGGTGGTCTAACACAAAGATTTGGGTTTAATGGCTCAATGTTGAGATGGAGATCAGTAACAAGTGGGGTAAGTACCCCTTACCCTCAGGGGTAAGCACTGGGACAAGCACTGTTTAACGTCTTTGTTCAAGACATGAACAGTGAAATTGAGTGCACCCTCAGCAAGTTTGCCGATGTCACCAAGCGACAGTGTGGTGTAGTCAACACACTGGAAGGAATGGACACAATCCAAAGGGACATGGATTGTGTCCATGTCCCTTTGGACATGAGAGGTGGGCCAGTGTGAACCTTGTGCAGTTCAACAAAGCCGAGTGCAAAGTATTGTATCTGGTCTGGGGCGATCCCAAATACAACGATACAGGCTGGGTAGAGAATGGATTGAAAGTAGCCCTGATGAGAAGGACCTGGTGGTGTTGGATTATGAGAACCTTGGTATGAGCTCACAATGTGCACTTACAGCCCAGAAAACCAACTGTATTTTGGGCTGCATCAAAAGAAGCATAGCCAGTAAGTTGACGGAGGGGATTCTCCTCCTCTGCTCTGCTCTTGTGAGACCCCACGTGGAGCAGTGTGTTTACCTCTGGGGCCCCCAGCACAAGAAAGACACAGAAGTATTAGAATGAGTCCAGTAAAATATTATGTCTGCCTCTTCAGCCAGATTGGATGTTCTACTACAGACACCTATCATAACATTTGCCTCATTGGCCTTCCTCTGGGGAAGGCCAATGGCTTCCTTGGCTCTGAAGAGACCTTGTTGCAGCCTTTCAGGACTTCAAGGAGGCGTATTTAAAACAAACAAATAAACAAACAAACAAACAAACAAAAAAGGATATTTAGTTTAGATATTTGGAAGGAATTAGATTTAGATGGTAAGATTTTGGAAGAGGTGGAAGAGGTTGCTCACTGAAGTCATGGATACATCATCCCTGGAAAAGTTCAAGTCATGCCTGGATCCCTACTCATATTGAGGGAGGTGGATGCAGGTGAACTGCTTTTCAGTTAATCCTGTTTCCTGTAATGGAAGAAATGCCCAGTATTTGGCTCTGAACTTTCTGCAGGCTTTGGCCACAGGAATGACAGACCACAGAAAGGTTGATGTTGGCACGTACATCTAGAGGTCATCTGATCAAAATCCACTGCTTGAGCAGGTCCACCTAAACCAGATTGCCCAGGACCATATCTTTGTATGATGATGGTTTAAGGTCAAGTTGGATGGGACCCTTAGCTGACCTAAGGGGTGTCATCTCTGCCCTTGGTGCAGGTGATCTTTAAGATCACTTTGTGAACAGGTGATTTTTAAGATCTCTTCCAACCAATGCCATTCTCTGATTCAATGCTTCTATGATTCACTGAGCTGTAACCTCACATCTACTTTGCCACCCATAGCACACCAGAATATACCACAGGCTGCAACTGTCATTAATCTAAAATATATATATATATATTTCCTGCTTGCAAAAGACTGTCTAATCAAACCAGCAATTCTTGACACTGGTTCATGTTTATGAGATTTTAAACATAAAGATTAAATGAGATTTAATCTTAATCTAGTGTTTCCCAGCATCATCCTTACAGACATCTTCAGTTCCTTGCTTGCTATTGCTTCCTTGCTTCCAATGTGTGTCTTCACTTCTTTTACCCTGACTCTAAATTTAACTTTCAAAAAAAATGACCAGTAACCAGGCTTGCTTTCCAATGTCATGAGAATGGTGGGGTTTGAAAGGTTTTGTGAGGTAAATGATTTCTGGCCACTTTGCCATCACTATCTGCCAAGAGCTAGGGGTGATCAAAAAGATTCTCAGCATCCTGACATCTGACTGTGTGTGCAGGGCCTCCTGGGCTCATGATGAACTTCCTATTGGAGGGTGTCCTAGCAGGAGAAAGCCCCAACACAAAGTAAGGGAAAGACATTCTCCTTCTGCCAGAAGCTCTTCTGAAAACTTTGCAAGGGAGAATTTGTACAGGCACTGTAAATTCTCAGTGTTCTTGAGGATATATTTGTTGTCTCTTAATGAGAGAAAAGGGTTAAATGCATGAATCTAGAAATGGCAGGAAGGGCAGGAGAGCTTGAAAGCAAACTCATTGACATGGGAAGTTTGGCTATCTTGATTTTCATGGGTGAATTCTGTCCTTGCTCACTACAAAAGTAAGGTTATTTATACCTTGCAAATTCCCCTGAAGATTATTTGGACTTGTGGTTTTAGTCGGGTGGGCAGCTGAGTTGCATCATGGCCACTCTCTCACTCCCCGTCCTCAAAGAGGAAAGGGGAGAAAATATGACACAAAGAGCTCAAGATTTGAGATAAAGACAATTTAATTAAATGGAAAAGGGATATAAACAAACAACAACAACAAAAAAAGTAGGCCGTGCAGAAGCACCAAGATAGAAAAGCAGTTATTCTCTCCTTGCCATCAGTGAGCAATGTTCGGCCACATCCTGGGAAGCAGGGCCTCAATACACGTAGCAGAGGACAAATGTTTCTACAATGAGATTCCCCTCCCTCCTCACCCCCCTCTCCTCCAGCCTTTTTTCTTTCCCACCTTTTATTGCTGAGTGTGACATCATATGGCACGGAATATCCCTTTGGTTGCTTTAGGTCAGCTGCCCTAGGGATGTCCCCTCCCCATCACTTGCCCACCCCCAGACTGCTGGCTCTTCTGGGGTTGGAGGGAATCCTGATGCAGTGCCGGTATTGTGCAGCAGTAGACCCAACACTGGTGTGATGCCAGTGCTGTTCTAGCTACAAGTGCAAAGTACAGTACTGTATGGGCAGCTGCAGGGAAAGCTAATGTCATCCCAGCAAGACCCAGCACAGGACTACATCCCCAAACCGGTCGGGTAGGACTGTGTTTCACACAGCCTCTCAAGAAACACTGATAAGACATCAGGCAAGTGGTGTTCAGAAGGCAAGGCATACTTGCTAATGACAGGAAGGATCTGCTGTGACTGGTGACCATCTAGAAACATAAGTCAGAGGTATTTTTAGGAAGGGATGGTTCTGTTCATCAGATACTTCTCCCACTCTAGAACAACAGACCACTTTTGCACAAAGATATTAAAAGTATTTCAGTGGCATGAAATCCAGGTCTTCCTACAGAAATGGATCAGATAAGGCTCAGCAAGCAGTGATGAAACCATCTTTTAGCAACTTCAGATTTGGTGGAACAAAGCATGGGGTTAAATACAGTGCTGTCAGACCTATGGCTCTGGATTTCAGCCAGACATTAGATGTGCAATCTCACTTCATCCCTTCGCTTCTCATCATCATCAAACCCCTGTACTATTTGTAGAGGCTCAAAATCAACCTTTACTGTAATAGAACCTGTAGAGAAGAAAGGAAAGAGCTTCATTTCCTGGCTGCAGTCATTATCAAAGGAAAAAATATACAAAGCATTTTTCTGGTGGACATTGTAAAATAACAGCTTCTTGGCTAAGATATCCAGGAAGATCCCAATCTTTCGTGGTCTCCCACCCACAGTCAAACGGGTCCAAGGATCCGTGTAAGCCCAATAGTCTCGCCCATCTGTCAACCCTATGGCCCAGAAGCCATTCTGAGGAGAAAGAACCAAAGTCCCTTTGCGTGTCACAGTATTCTGGACAACACCCAAGATCCAGTTTCTCCTCTTTCCAACATCCACTTCCCAGTAGAGTCTCCCAGATGCATAAGCTTCCTTTGCCAACACAAAAGCGTGGGAATCAAATCTCTCCTTCTTGCTGGGCACCCTTCTGATTGCACCAGTGTCAATCACACTCTTCCCATCTTTTGACACTTGCAGCCTCGGATGAGCCGTGTCAGCATCAAGGGTGACATCAACTGCAATAGTCAAGTAATTAGTTAAGTAGTAAAGGGCAAGAAGGTTAGTACTTTGAAACTTTCCATTTGTTGACCTTGTGCATTTATTTCCCTTCCATGCCTTGATCTCCACTCTGATGGGCCCTCAGAACTTTCTCTGACCAGGCTCCTTCCACCTTCTGCCATCCCAGATCTCCTATGTCCTTTGTCTCTCTTCTATGGTATACTGAGTCAGAAGCCAACATTCAGCAAATTTAACACAACTCATCGAGATGCTTCCCAGAAAATGACATAAAGCTTCAAAGAGGAATGTAAGGAGATTACAAGCCTTTGCCTTAATCACTGAACTGTATAAAGGACACCAGAGGATAAGAGGCATGCTTACACACAGATCTTGTCTTTGAGTAAAACTAGGATCACAAAATCCTCTTGTATGAGAATGGGAGGAAATTCCACTGACCGAGATTTGCACATACATCGTGTTAGTACACCCTTGGCAGTAGAAAAGCTGGAGCTAAACACCCTGAAATGAGCTTCTCCTTCTTTCAAAGTCCAACCCATTTTTTACTGGAGAAGCAATAATGTTGTTTTATATTCCAGTAGCAGTAAAAAAAGGCCTTGCAGAGTTTCCAGGACACCAAGTGAATAAGAGAGATTCATAAACAATTTGTGCTGTTCTACTGTTAATTTCAGAAATGTTACCTGAGAAGAGCAAAAAATTTAAAGAACTGCATTGAAGATCCAAGTAGTGGAATTCAGCCAGTTTTGTTTTCTTACCTTTGTACCGTTGTACACGCAGCAATTCTGTGGAAAACAACAAAAGGATGTAAAGGATGTTTTTTGGGAGACCAAGCGTCCAATGACTTAAATAACAGCCTATGCTATTGGAAGAAGAGCATGGTCTTCTACAATAGTGTGTCTCTTCTACAGGTCAGAAAGCTAATCAGAATGCTATTTAACTTTCAATGGTGAAGAAGAAAAAGTCAAGTGAGAAAACAACTGTTTACATACAAGTTAGCCACAGAAAATCAGGAAGTCCACAGTTTCTGTATGTTGGAGCCCTTCAGCACCAAAAAGAAAAGGTGAAAGACAGTCCACACATGGCTAAGGGGCACTTCCTTGGCAAAGTCAAAGCTAAAGAGCACCAGCTGGAACGGTGAGACCGGGGTACTGGCAGGTGCCTGGAAAAGCCGTCCTCATGATCTCCAAAGACTGTATCACCACACAGAAAGCTTGTGGAGAAGCTGAAAGACACTTCGTATTCCTTGGGCTTTGGACATTACAACAGACACATCGAAAGACCCAACATTAGAAGAACGCCACTATCCTCCAGGATGCTCCCTTTATCTCAGAGCAATGGCCCTGACTGACACGCACAGCCTGCAACATTGCTACCTCTAAGGCTATGACAGCTTCATGCCTTTGCTAGCTGTTGAGGTGCTGAAGGACACAGCAGCTCTCCTTGGCCAGACCATTGCACATCAGAAGCTGCAGTAGCCCTAACACAGCACTACTACACATTCTTGCTGCCTCACACTGTGAATTCTATGGCCCAGAGCTTGGCGTTCACGTTCTTTGGAGCTACTTGCTCTCCTGAGGTGCTGCTTTAAGTCTTGACTCAACATCAAGATCATTGAGCTTTCACAAGGGAGCCCACTAAGCAATGAGGTCCCAAAGGCATAAGATCATCACAGCATCTGCTCTGATTGCATGCTTGGACAAAAAATAGACCAGGATAGTTCCATCCCTGATACTTCCACCCTCCACTTAACTTTAGTGACAGTTTTAATCTTTCCAAACACATGCGATCAGAGACAATGAAACTTTAAATAAAATAAAATTAAAATTAAAAAATAAAATAAAAATAGTATTCAGAAGTTAAACACTGAGATTATGGGAGCAAAGAGCTTCCTCCAAGCAGGTGTCTTCAGTTTCTGACAGGAATTGCACTCCACCCAAAGGTAACAGGGCTGCTCAGTGGACCGGGCTCTCCAGCTCCAGCCACCACTTCTCAGGCTTCCCTCCAAATCCATTTCCCTCAGTCTTGCTTATGTTCCAAAGACTCCTCCACGCAGAGGACCACTATACTATGTCCCAAAAACCTCCACATCAGCTGTTGTGCTTGGTTTTTAGACAGACAAAGACACTCACCATTCTCCTTCTTCAGGGACTCTGCAAGAAGAGAGTGAGAAGCGAAGACACAATGCTTAGTATCCTATCCCAAAACAGGTCTGGTGGAAGATAATGGGAAGCCTTCAGCAAGCCACACTCATCCTCCACCAGCACCTGCACCCAGCCACTGCTGCCCCACACGTAGAGGCATGGGAGCAGCACTCTGCATGTACTCACCCGTCATGTCTGCATCCCCCTGCACCCTGCCTTGCGCTTGCAGCTCCTCTGCAAATACAACTGAGGAAAACAAAGAGAAATGAGGACTGTGCCAGGCAGGAGCTGCTGCCAGCAGGGGGGGACAAGGGATCCCTGGGTTCTGGCCTGCATAGCATCCAGCTCCAATGCTGAGAGATCCCCACCCCACTATCCTCTCTGCTGCTCCCCACACTCAAACTCCACCAACCCCTATACAGAGGCAGGACTACCCTGGGCACTGAGGCATGGGTCCCGTGTCCCCACCAAAACCTCTCTACACTTTCCTTCTGGCTCACACCTGGTGAGCATCCCAGCTGCTCTCTACTTCCCAGAGGACAGTGATCCCCTTCCCTGGTTTTGCTTTCCCTCACAGTTTCATGCTTATCATCTTCTCTCAGCCATAATGCCACTGAGCTTTCACTAGGGAACCCACTCTGAATCAGCATCCTTAACGTTATGAGAACATCCCATTAGACATGCCAAATGAACAGTGGAGAAAAAGAAAGCCCAGGTGCCCAGGAAAGGCCCAACCGTCGCATGGTCCTCATTCCACTATGGAGCATGCTCCATCCATGAACATTATACACTGAACACCCACACTTACCAATCTTCCTCTGAGTGTTCACTGAAATGAAAAATAAAATAAAATAAAATAAAATAAAATAAAATAAAATAAAATAAAATAAAATAAAATAAAATAAAATAAAATAAAATAAAATAAAATAAAATAAAATAAAATAAAATAAAATAAAAATAAACTGTTCCTCCAAGTTCCCTTCTTACCAGGGAGTGGTGTTCTCTTTCCTTGAGGGTCTTTTCTCACCAGTTCCCCTGCTTCACCAGTTAATTGGGTAATAATTACAATCTATATTCTGAAGTCAACATTTCTCTGATCTGCTTCTGCTGTCTCCTGTCAGTAATTCCTACCATCCCTGCTGAATGTATGCTGTGGTAGGAGAACAGCCTTGACTTATAGGTAAGGACAACCCTTGTAGAATTGCCTCTCCCATTCAGAGCTCTCCCTTTGTACATCAATTATATGTCCTATATACTCAGACTTATCAGTCTGAGACTATCTATCTCATTCTATCCCATTCTCCCTGCTTTGGTCTGTGGTATCACACCCATCAGGACCATTTCTAGCAAAGGACAGGATATCTTCTGTGAGGGGGAAAGGTCTCTGGGAACTGTAAATTTGTCTTGCTTATAGTACCACCGCGGTACACTGCCATTGTTGCCTGTGAGGAATAGACTTGACTGTTACCTTTTAGAAAGGACCAAGAAGAGACAGGTCTTATATCAATGCCACAGCCTTACAGCATATTGTAGCATAAAACACGCAGATTGTGACCTGTGGTTTGTTTTTTTATCTTTCATCAGAAAAGGACACGTTGCTGGGTGAGCTAGTGTAATGAGGACAGAATCCACAAATGCACACAAGCACTGTTGGGGCACTCCTTATCCAAAGGAAGAGAAACAGAGCTGAGCCCAGACACTGTACTTCTAGCTCTTTCTCTGAGCCTCTCAGCCTGTGCTAATTCTCTCTGTGAATTGTTCACCTCCCAATGGTCCAAAAGGACAGAAGACAGAAAAAGATTTAACTTGTGCTAGTTGATGGGGAAGGTCTCCTCACATACAATGACATAGGAAAGGCAGAGACGTTTAATGCCTTCCTTGCCTCTGTCTTCAACACTGATGATGGGCTTCAGGACCCAAGGTGCCTTGAGCTGGAGGACCATGACGGTGGGAATGACAAACTCACAACCGACCCTGAACATGTGCGGGATTTGCTGCTCTGCCTGGATCCATGCAAGTCCATGGGTCTGGATGGGATTCATCCCAGGGTGCTTAAAGCGCTGGCTGATGTCATCGCGGGACCTCTCTCAATTATTTTTTTCAACAATCTTGGGAATCTGGAGAGGTCCCAGTGGACTGGAAGCTGGCAAATGTTGTGCCAATTTTCAAGAAGGGTAAGAAAGAAGACCCTAGCAATTACAGGCCTGTCAGTCTCACATCAGTACCTGGTAAAATTATGGAGAAGATGATTCTTGAAGTTACTGAGGCGCACCTGGGGAACAATGCAGTCATTGGTCCCAGACAACATGGGTTCCTGAGGGATAAGTCCTGCCTAACAAATCTGATTTCCTTTTATGGTAAGATCACCCATCTAGTTGACCAAGGGAAACCAGCTGATGTGATCTTTTTGGACTTCAGCAAAGCTTTTGACATGGTTTCCCATAGGATGCTACTGGACAAAATGTCTAGCATACAGCTAAACAAAAACATCATATGATGGGTGAGCAATTTGCTGATGGGCAGGGCTCAAAGGGTTGTGGTTAATGGGGCTACTTCTGGCTGGTGGATGGTCACTAGTGGGGTCCCTCATGGCTCCATTTTAGGGCCAATCCTCTTCAACATTTTTATAAATGATTTGGATGAAAGACTAGAAGGTGTTATGAGCAACTTTGCTGATGACATCAAACTTGGAGGAGTTGTGGATTCAGCTGAGGGTGGAAAGGCCTTGCAGAGAGACCTGGACAGATTAGAGAGCTGGGCGATCACCAACTGCATAAAGTTTAACAAAAGCCTGTGATGGATCCTGCACCTGGGATGGGGCAACCGTACTATGGCTTTACATACAGACTGGGCAACGAGACACTGGAGAGCAGCCCCGCAGAGAGGGATCTGGGGGTTGTGGTTGATAGCAAGTTGAACATGAGCCAGCAGTGTGCCCTGGCAGCCAGGAGGGCTGTATCCTGGGGTGCATCAAGTATGGCATTGCTAGTTGGTCAAGGGAGGTGACTGTACCACTCTACTCTGCGCTGGTATGGCCTCACCTCGAGTACTGTGTGCAGTTCTGGGCACCACAGTACAAAAAGGATGTAAAACTGTTTGAGAGTGTCCTGAGGAGGGCAACGAAGATGGTGAAGGGCCTAGAGAGGAAGACGTATGAGGAGGAGCTGAGGTCACTGGGCCTGTTCAGCCTGGAGAAGAGGAGGCTGAGGGGGGACCTCATTGCGGTCTACAACTTCCTCGCGAGGGGGAGTGGAGAGGCAGGTGACTTATTCTCTGTAAACACCAGTGATAGGACCCGCAGAAACGGTCTTAAGCTGAAGCAGGGGAAGTTTAGGCTTGACATCAGGAAGAGGTTCTTCACTGAGAGGGTGGTCAAACACTGGAACAGGCTCCCCAGGGAAGTAGTTACTTCACCAAACCTGTCTGAATTTAAAAAGTGATTGGACTATGCACTTAGTCACATGGTCTAAACTTTTGGGTAAACCTGTGTGGTGCCAGGAGTTGGACTTGATGATCCTTATGGGTCCCTTCCAAATCGGGATATTCTATGAGTCTATGTTTCCCTTACATTTGCCTGTATTAATTCAGTGCCAGAGGAATACAGAAAACACAAACACCCTGTGATCCTGCCTGATAGATCTTCTAGGAAAAATGTAGACTAGGAATTGCCCTACTCTGTCTCTCTTCAGGCAGGTTTGGTGGGCTGTGGGAGAGAAGACTATATGTCGATGAGGAAGATGAGTAAGTGAAAGGGAGAAAGAGTAGTGGGATATTAAGGTCAGGAACACTGGGAAACTGACATCACTTCCTGCCAAGTGCGTCCTTATCTTTCTAAAAGGGGAGAGCATTTCGTCTTAGAACAGTCACAGAAAATGCTCTTCTAGTTTCAGTGCAAAGGTGGATTCTCATAGCTTTCCTTGTGATGACAGAACATCTGCCCACCAGTCAGAAGTAGTGAAGGACTTCTGAATTTTGCTTTGCTTGTGCTTGCAGCATATCTCTTACCCTGCCTATTAAACTGTCTATATCTCAACCCATGCGCTTTCTCACTATCACCTTTCCACTTCTCTCCCCCATCCTCTTAGAGGAACATGAGCAGCAGCTGTGTAGTGTTTCACTGCTCACCAGGGTAAAACCACAGGTCAAAAGCTTCTTTGGGGATCAATGTGCTCACCTAGTTGATTGCCGATGTCCAACAGGTTCTCCTCAGACCAGGACCTCTTTGCTGCCTCCAAATCCTTGCTTATTTTGCCCTGCATCTCTGCTCTGAGGATCTCAAGGTCTTGCTTTCTAGATGCCTCCACGTTCTGCAAAGATGCCATCAGAGATTGCATATTTTCAGAGATTGCCTGGAGGGAAGCCTGGGTGTTGGCCCGTTCCTCCAGAAGTGGGGCAGCATGCTGTGAAACTTCTAGTTGGTTATGAAACACAGTCAGCTTCTCACTCAGAATTCTCTCCACCTCCCCCCGTATGGATTCGAGGACCCTCGTGGTGTTTCTGTCCACAGTCCTTCCTGCAAAGAAAGAGAGGAGCAACTGGGAAAGTGACTTGGTTTCCTGGGAATGGGGTCGTGGACTTACTAAAGAGGGGAGCACTTCCTCTTAGAAATGTCAGAGAAAATGCTCTTCTGATTTCAGTGCCATGGTGGACTTTTCATTATAGCATGAAAAATTCCATTCCTGAGAGGTTTTTTTTCCAGGCAAGGGATACTGATTGTGTTGGGAGGAGGGAATCCACACAAGGTCTGACAGGGCACTACTTAGCCACTGGAAGTGAAGTAGGGCTTTCCAAAGAACTGAACACTAGTTCCCTTCCTGCACAGGCGCTTCCTAGGGCTTTCCGTCCCTCACAGCAATTCCCCCTCATAAATGATTCCTTCGCCATAGTCCATGGTATTTGGGCTCTGGATGGAGGAGGAGGACAGAACGGAGAAGGTCCTTCCACCTTCCAAGCGATCGTTTTCATAGATTCGATTCCAGAGGGATGGACAAGGAGAAGAGGCTGCATGATCCTGCCTGAAGGCTTGTAAGAGTTGCGCTGGCTGGGATGGAGGGTAGGAATTGCGTCACTCCATCTCTCCAGACAGGATCTGTGGTGCGTGGGAGAGATGACTCTGTTGATGAGCAATGTGAGTGGTTAAGAGAGAGACGGTATCGGAGCCTGAAGGTGGATGTTCCTTAGCCCCATCTGCAATCTTCACCACTTACAAGCGTCATAGGTGGACTACCATACCAAATCCCTTTAAAGGGGAGGCAGGGAAGGAACACCCTTACCACCAGCAGGCACTACTCTGTCATGGGGCTGTGTCATCGGAGTGGGACACAAGACCTCTCCAAAAGAAAGGGCTGTCCTTCCCAGTATCATGGAAGAAATGCCAGAAACTAGCCCATACAGTGGTGTCACCAAATGACACCATTTGCCTTCAGGAGGCCATCCTGTTTTTGGCTGGCATAGCTTAAGCGTCTTCGTTGGAGCTGCTATGACGTGGTGTTTTGGATTTGTGATGAAAATGTTGCTGTTAACTGGTGGATGATTTAGTTGTTCTGGGCAGTGCTTCCACACAGTCAGGGGCCCCTCTGCTTGTCATCATGCTCTGCCAGGGAGGGTGTTGGGGGTGCCCATGCTGCAGTGAGGGAACACAGCCAGGACAGCAGACCGCGGCTGCCCAAAGGGATCCCATATGACACCTTGCTCAGCAATAAAAGCTGGGGTGAAGAAGGAGGAAGGGGAGACTTTCATAGTGTTTTGCACTGGTCTTCCCCACGAAGTACCACCTCTGGTGGAGCCTTGCTTTCCTTGTGATGGCAGAACATCTGCCCACCGATCAGAAGCAGTGAAGGACTTCTGAATTTTGCTTTGCTTGTGCTTGCAGCATATCTCTTACCCTGCCTATTAAACTGTCTATATCTCAACCCATGCGCTTTCTCACTATCACCTTTCCACTTCTCTCCCCCATCCTCTTAGAGGAACATGAGCAGCAGCTGTGTAGTGTTTCACTGCTCACCAGGGTAAAACCACAGGTCAAAAGCTTCTTTGGGGATCAATGTGCTCACCTAGTTGATTGCCGATGTCCAACAGGTTCTCCTCAGACCAGGACCTCTTTGCTGCCTCCAAATCCTTGCTTATTTTGCCCTGCATCTCTGCTCTGAGGATCTCAAGGTCTTGCTTTCTAGATGCCTCCACGTTCTGCAAAGATGCCATCAGAGATTGCATATTTTCAGAGATTGCCTGGAGGGAAGCCTGGGTGTTGGCCCGTTCCTCCAGAAGTGGGGCAGCATGCTGTGAAACTTCTAGTTGGTTATGAAACACAGTCAGCTTCTCACTCAGAATTCTCTCCACCTCCCCCCGTATGGATTCGAGGACCCTCGTGGTGTTTCTGTCCACAGTCCTTCCTGCAAAGAAAGAGAGGAGCAACTGGGAAAGTGACTTGGTTTCCTGGGAATGGGGTCATGGACTTACTAAAGAGGGGAGCACTTCCTCTTAGAAATGTCAGAGAAAATGCTCTTCTGATTTCAGTGCCATGGTGGACTTTTCATTATAGCATGAAAAATTCCATTCCTGAGAGGTTTTTTTTCCAGGCAAGGGATACTGATTGTGTTGGGAGGAGGGAATCCACACAAGGTCTGACAGGGCACTACTTAGCCACTGGAAGTGAAGTAGGGCTTTCCAAAGAACTGAACACTAGTTCCCTTCCTGCACAGGCGCTTCCTAGGGCTTTCCGTCCCTCACAGCAATTCCCCCTCATAAATGATTCCTTCGCCATAGTCCATGGTATTTGGGCTCTGGATGGAGGAGGAGGACAGAACGGAGAAGGTCCTTCCACCTTCCAAGCGATCGTTTTCATAGATTCGATTCCAGAGGGATGGACAAGGAGAAGAGGCTGCATGATCCTGCCTGAAGGCTTGTAAGAGTTGCGCTGGCTGGGATGGAGGGTAGGAATTGCGTCACTCCATCTCTCCAGACAGGATCTGTGGTGCGTGGGAGAGATGACTCTGTTGATGAGCAATGTGAGTGGTTAAGAGAGAGACGGTATCGGAGCCTGAAGGTGGATGTTCCTTAGCCCCATCTGCAATCTTCACCACTTACAAGCGTCATAGGTGGACTACCATACCAAATCCCTTTAAAGGGGAGGCAGGGAAGGAACACCCTTACCACCAGCAGGCACTACTCTGTCATGGGGCTGTGTCATCGGAGTGGGACACAAGACCTCTCCAAAAGAAAGGGCTGTCCTTCCCAGTATCATGGAAGAAATGCCAGAAACTAGCCCATACAGTGGTGTCACCAAATGACACCATTTGCCTTCAGGAGGCCATCCTGTTTTTGGCTGGCATAGCTTAAGCGTCTTCGTTGGAGCTGCTATGACGTGGTGTTTTGGATTTGTGATGAAAATGTTGCTGTTAACTGGTGGATGATTTAGTTGTTCTGGGCAGTGCTTCCACACAGTCAGGGGCCCCTCTGCTTGTCATCATGCTCTGCCAGGGAGGGTGTTGGGGGTGCCCATGCTGCAGTGAGGGAACACAGCCAGGACAGCAGACCGCGGCTGCCCAAAGGGATCCCATATGACACCTTGCTCAGCAATAAAAGCTGGGGTGAAGAAGGAGGAAGGGGAGACTTTCATAGTGTTTTGCACTGGTCTTCCCCACGAAGTACCACCTCTGGTGGAGCCTTGCTTTCCTTGTGATGGCAGAACATCTGCCCACCGATCAGAAGCAGTGAAGGACTTCTGAATTTTGCTTTGCTTGTGCTTGCAGCATATCTCTTACCCTGCCTATTAAACTGTCTATATCTCAACCCATGCGCTTTCTCACTATCACCTTTCCACTTCTCTCCCCCATCCTCTTAGAGGAACATGAGCAGCAGCTGTGTAGTGTTTCACTGCTCACCAGGGTAAAACCACAGGTCAAAAGCTTCTTTGGGGATCAATGTGCTCACCTAGTTGATTGCCGATGTCCAACAGGTTCTCCTCAGACCAGGACCTCTTTGCTGCCTCCAAATCCTTGCTTATTTTGCCCTGCATCTCTGCTCTGAGGATCTCAAGGTCTTGCTTTCTAGATGCCTCCACGTTCTGCAAAGATGCCATCAGAGATTGCATATTTTCAGAGATTGCCTGGAGGGAAGCCTGGGTGTTGGCCCGTTCCTCCAGAAGTGGGGCAGCATGCTGTGAAACTTCTAGTTGGTTATGAAACACAGTCAGCTTCTCACTCAGAATTCTCTCCACCTCCCCCCGTATGGATTCGAGGACCCTCGTGGTGTTTCTGTCCACAGTCCTTCCTGCAAAGAAAGAGAGGAGCAACTGGGAAAGTGACTTGGTTTCCTGGGAATGGGGTCGTGGACTTACTAAAGAGGGGAGCACTTCCTCTTAGAAATGTCAGAGAAAATGCTCTTCTGATTTCAGTGCCATGGTGGACTTTTCATTATAGCATGAAAAATTCCATTCCTGAGAGGTTTTTTTTCCAGGCAAGGGATACTGATTGTGTTGGGAGGAGGGAATCCACACAAGGTCTGACAGGGCACTACTTAGCCACTGGAAGTGAAGTAGGGCTTTCCAAAGAACTGAACACTAGTTCCCTTCCTGCACAGGCGCTTCCTAGGGCTTTCCGTCCCTCACAGCAATTCCCCCTCATAAATGATTCCTTCGCCATAGTCCATGGTATTTGGGCTCTGGATGGAGGAGGAGGACAGAACGGAGAAGGTCCTTCCACCTTCCAAGCGATCGTTTTCATAGATTCGATTCCAGAGGGATGGACAAGGAGAAGAGGCTGCATGATCCTGCCTGAAGGCTTGTAAGAGTTGCGCTGGCTGGGATGGAGGGTAGGAATTGCGTCACTCCATCTCTCCAGACAGGATCTGTGGTGCGTGGGAGAGATGACTCTGTTGATGAGCAATGTGAGTGGTTAAGAGAGAGACGGTATCGGAGCCTGAAGGTGGATGTTCCTTAGCCCCATCTGCAATCTTCACCACTTACAAGCGTCATAGGTGGACTACCATACCAAATCCCTTTAAAGGGGAGGCAGGGAAGGAACACCCTTACCACCAGCAGGCACTACTCTGTCATGGGGCTGTGTCATCGGAGTGGGACACAAGACCTCTCCAAAAGAAAGGGCTGTCCTTCCCAGTATCATGGAAGAAATGCCAGAAACTAGCCCATACAGTGGTGTCACCAAATGACACCATTTGCCTTCAGGAGGCCATCCTGTTTTTGGCTGGCATAGCTTAAGCGTCTTCGTTGGAGCTGCTATGACGTGGTGTTTTGGATTTGTGATGAAAATGTTGCTGTTAACTGGTGGATGATTTAGTTGTTCTGGGCAGTGCTTCCACACAGTCAGGGGCCCCTCTGCTTGTCATCATG